CACTGAAATTTAAAACTTGCACTAATGATCACTGAAGTATCATATGGTTTCAATAATGGTCACTGAAGGACCCTTTTCATTTTAATTGAAACTTAATGAGACCAAAATAGTTGAAACTTGAACTTGAGGACCTAAATCGCAATGCCAGTTTAGGATAACATGGTTCATCGGGCATTTTCCCCTTCATTAGCCGACTTCTTGAGCTCCACCTTACACTCGAAGCAGCAAACCTGAAATCCATAAACCCCAAATCTTCGTAATCATTAACTACACATATAGAATTGGTGTCCTCTATAGCTATTGCATGCCTAACCCTTCGCTCTTCCATTATCTAAGCCCCAATATCGGCCTCCCTATATAGCAATTTTTTCAAGAATGTTTGGGGGTATTTGAAGCTCCCCTAACCTGAGGAGGTCAAGGAGGACTGCAAGGCAATCCGGGTTGCTATCAATGAAGTGCTCAGTGGTTGCAGTGGCACTCGGTTGAAGGTTCCAATTGTCATCAAAAATAGCTCCAAACAAGGAATTACGTCTTGCGTTGGCAAGGGTTGTGGCCGTGGTCTCAAAGATTCTCCCACCATACCAACATTGAACCTCACCATATCCTTTTGAATTACCATTAATAAATCGGAACAAGTAAAATGAGAGTTTGAAGGTGAAATAACAGAAGAATTATTATTTAAACATGAGATCTTTCTCCTAAAACCCTCAAAATATATAGGAAATTCAAAGGATTTCGAGAAGACAACCGATGATAGATGTCAAATTGAGAATTTTGGAGTGGCCGATTTTGGAAGTAAACTCAGAGATTATGGCCATATTTGGGAGAGATTAGATTTTTCTACAGTAAATCAATTCTCATTTTCAACCACACATTTTTCAATAAAATAATATTTTCCATTACATCAACAATTTTTTCTTCTTTTTCAACCACACATTTCCCATCATATCACTATTCAAAATCAATTCTTTCTCTCAAAATCTCTCCCAAACAAGCTCTATATTTCTAAGTTTGAAAAGAAATCAGAAGACTCAGGGAACACTAAAATACCTAGAAATAGGAAATATTGCTGCGGGGGGGAGGGGGGGTGGTTATTGTCAAATTTGCGAGTTAGGTCCTCAAGGTTCAAACTTCAACTATTTTGGTCCATTAAAATGAAAAAAGGTCATTTAGTGACCATTATTGAAACCATATGATACTTCAGTGACCGCTAGTGCAAATTTTAAACTTCAGTGACCGTTTTGTGATTTTAACGTAACTTCAGTGACCGTTTATGAAATTAACCCAATTTAACACGAAATGGCTAAAGTTCGTAAAGGCTTTCAAATTTGGCTACATTTTAAAGCCCACCCCTCGAATTTGACTATAAATCAAGATTGCCTAAACTTAAAAAATAAAAGAGAAGCCTCGCTTCACAAACCAATTCAAATAGACATAGATTATAACAAGACCGTTATAAGATTAAGCCTCGAACAAAAATGAATTAATTTTATTTATAAGCATTAAATGCGATATTTTAATGAAGAGTAGTTTGAGAAGCTAAAATTAGAAGTTGAAAAGCTACCATTTAGCTGTGTTGATAAGATTAAGTGCCCGTTATCTAAAACTTTATTTCCAATCACACATTCTCTCAATAAAATAATTTTGCATGTAAATTAAAATATTTTTCCTACTTTTTAAATATACACTCCAAAAATCAAAATTACAAAATTTATTCTTCCAAAAAATGGGGTTCAAACAAAACCTAAGTTTAACGATCACTTTAAAATAATCGCGTTTGGCAATAATTTTTTTTTTTTTACTAAAACACTATCAAATGAACCTTACTTCAATTCACTAGCGAAGCATTCATTGTGCGGTCCATGATGAAGTCGCTATCAGTGGACAAACTTCGATTTGCTCATGGTTCACAATCCATGTTGCAATGAATTCTTGAAATAAATTGAATCTACCCGCTTTCATTTTCTTGATCATTCCTCTACTATTGCTGGATTATCAAATTGGTCCTCAACTATTAAAAAGAATCAATTAAATCCCTAATATTTTTTATAGTCACACAATCAGTTCCCAGTGATGTCAACTGTCTGAATCGTTATTAAATTGACATGTACCTTACACAAAAACATGCCTCCTTCCAATTTTTAAGGTGCGGATTCAAACTAAAAAATAAAACTAACTTCATAAAATTGGATATATTTTTGCTCACATTACGAGAATTTGAGAAAGTTTTGAACAAATAAATAAATTAATGAAGTAGCATGCTTCCATAAAAGAAGGCCTTTAGAGAGAAGATGCATAAGCAGTATGTACAAACACATACAGCATTGAATGTCACATGACTGGACAGCGGCTAAAAGAGTTCTGGTGAAAATGAAAGCACATCCTACCTAAGATGGTCAATATTCTTGACACACTTTAATGTCACGTTCAGAAGAAAAATGAAAATAAGGGGATGCTCAACCCAACCGATGTAAAAGAGGTCTTTAATTGGTGGAGTAGTTCACGTTTTCACAGCGTAGCAAAACTCGTCCTCAACCTTTTCAAAAACGTTGATTTGTGGGTGGATTATATTGGGGAGTGCCGGGTGGTTTGAGAAGGAGATTTATTTGTTCATTTTGAAAAGATTTAAGGGATGTTCTCTTCGTGTTTCAGTTTTTATTTTTGAATTTTGAATTCATTTTTGGTTTTGTGTTTTGAGTGTTCATTTTGAGATTGTTGAAAACATGTTCTTTTTGTCATTTTGAAAAATTGTTTTCAAAAATAAAAAAAAATGAAAAGTTTTGGCTTGGTTTTAATTGAAAACAGCCAAAACGACATTTTTGGCGTTTTTCGTTTTCTTTGTAAATTTTAAACTCGTTTTTGGAAATTCGTTTATGAAAATAAGTAAGTAAACGTGTTTTCAGTGTTTTCGAAAATTGAAAATGGTTTGAAAACAGCAAAGAGAACATGCCATTAGATTTCTTGTCCATTTTTTGTATTTAGAGCTCGTTTGGTAAAAATTAAAATCCAATTAAAACTGAAAATATAGTCGTTATTGGGTCTCACTCGTCTAATAAAAGTCAACAATAACGGTTAGTTTTTCAATTTTAATCCGATTTTAATCTCTATCAAACCCGCCCTTACTACAAATGGGGCAAATCCGTCATTTTACATGGTCAAAGGGGCGGAGGATGTCCGGTGCCAGAAAAAGTTTGGAGATAGATTAATTTCACAAAGGTTGGGAACGAAAAGTGCCAAAAAAAATCCAAAGAAAAATGCTACTTAATCTAACTTTGGTTAAAAAGAACTATATGACATTATCCCAAGAAAGACTTTAAACACAAAATGTTCTCTATTTTAGAAAGATAACACTTAAAAAATAAGTTCAATGGACTTTCTATTCTAACTTTTTAAAATAGAGAGCGAAACTTACCCCCTATTTTTACGGTATAATGATTTCATTTAGCAAGTTATAGATTTCAACACTATTTGTTAAATATTCAAACATTATTTGAATTGATATATAAAAAAATATGATAAATAAAAAATGAGAAGAAATCAATAAATATTTTTTTGAAAAAAATAAAATGAAGAATCAAAATACAGAGTATTGTTGGAGCGTATAAATTTTTTTTATCTATAAATTTAAAGATACTTTCTATTATACGTAAGACGCTCATTATCATAACAGTCTATTGAAGATGTTCTAAATTTAATGAAACAGTAATATGTACCCACTTATTTGTCCCGTGTGATGTATCATTAAACGGTATGGCGAATTAAGAATTTCATATTCACACGTTTAATCGCCGTATCTTTTCATATCAATCACTTACCACATATCACATGGGACGGCCTCGACGGAAGATATAAATCATTCTCAATTAAATGTGGTCCTATGAGACTACATTTATATAGTGTCATATAGTCGAGTGTTAAAACACTATTGAGCTATATAATTTAAATCATTTTTTATCCACATATTTTGTAAGATCAACAAGTATTATTTACTTATCCACCACTCATTTATATATTTAAAACAAATAGGTAGTCGATAATGAGTAGTAATTATGAATTTGATTTTGATTGAATTTATAAAATTTTATAAAAAAAATAAATAAGTCATTCGCTGCATTTAAACTGGCAACAAACACTCCATTAATGGTTAAGCAAACATCATGTTTAAGTGAATCATAAACAGGCAAATTAGAGCTACGGCCATACTGGAGAAAAAAGCTATTTGAGTGTCAGGTTTTGGTGCAAATATTCAAACCCACAATTTAATGGCATTTAAGATCTTTTCGTCTCCATACCTAAAATATGGTCATATCCATGTTATGTTACTGTTTTGAAATGTACTTTTGGGCTTCTTTAATTTACTCAAGGCACGTAACAATCTTTACACCATATTTGATACACATTCGTCTAAAAAAATATTTCTCTCTCTCTCTCTCTCTCTCTCTCAACTAAATATTCTTCAATAAAATAATATTACACGTAATCCAATCTTTTCCTGGTTTTCTGAACACATATTATCTATCAAAATACTATTTAAAATGCATTATTGGGAAAATAATGTGGCTCAAACATGGTTTTAACAAGATTATGCCAATTTATTAAAAAGATTTTGATCGATGCATGGACTGAAGTGCATGTGACAGTAGATGATTAGATGAAAAAATTGACCGATTTAAATAGTCCAATAATAAAATGTCATGTGTCATTATATCAACATTTATGCTAACCTATTTGTCAGTTGGCATGATTCTCTTTAACATTACCTTACACTTACCCATAAATTTGGGAAAAAAATTATTCCATTTTAAACTGATTACATTGTATCACACTGTGGTCCATTCCCAAATCCTTTATATGCATCATCCAATTGGCCAATGCATGCATGCTTTCGATTTATCCTAAGCAACATATATTGTTTTTTAAATACATACTCTCTAGCACACAACCACCACCCATCGCCGCCTAGCCCCTGTCCGTCCGTCCACCCAACCGTCGAGTACGAGATGTCTGGGACTACAGATCAGAAGACTAAAGTGTTCCAGCCTGAATCTCGAGTACTGGGTAGAACTGAACACAGTTGGTGTCGCGCGGTGACTTGTGGCACTGGAGTCACTGTGCTGGGGTTGCAAATGACTAAACCACGGTTCGTAATCTCGGTTCTACACAGCGTACTTGCTAAGCTCCAAAGTAGCCACCCTCTCCTCGGATCCAAACTTCACTATAACACCTCAACGAAAGAGTTCTCATTCCTCAACTCCGAGGCTTCTCCGCCTATCAAAATCAAATCGTTCGATCCATCATCAACCTTACAGCTCCTTAAAAACCTAAACAACAAAGGAAACTCTAAAAATCTTTCTCCATTTCATTTACTCTTGGAGCATGAGCTGAACAGCAACAAATGGTCTGATCCCAATTCCTTCCCATCTAATGGCATTGATGTAATGTTTGCTAGTGTATACACATTGTCTGATGCAAAATGTGTTATCGTGCTTCGGTTTCACACTGTGATATGCGACCGGACCACGGCCGTGTCTTTGCTCAGGGAGCTGATGGAACTGGCGAAGGACGGTGAGAAAGGCGAGGTGCAGAAGGGAATAGAGAATGATAAGGAGGGTGACTTGGGAATTGAGGATCTCATTCCAAATGGGTTGGCAAAGAAGACATTCTGGGTTCATGGCATGGACATGTTGGGATATTCTGTGAATTCATTGAAACTCACAAATTTGAAGTTTAAGAATGTGAAGTGGCCCAGATGTTCCGAGGTTGTGAGACTACAAATGAACACACAGGACACGGACAGGATTTTTGTTGTAAGTCTTTTAATTAATCCTGTATTTAGGTCTAGAAAAAAATATTATTCCTTTTAAGAATTCTTCAACTTTGTAAATCTATTCAGGGTTGCAAATCTAGAGGCATTAAACTGTGTGGGGCTCTAGCAGCCGCTGGATTAATCGCGGCGCATTCTTCTAAAGGCAATCCTGATCAGACAAAGAAAAAATATGGAGTGGTGACTCTTACCGATTGCCGCTCTATTCTTGAACCACCTCTTTCTGGTCACCATTTTGGTAAGAAACCCGTTTCACTGCCTAGGCTCGGAGACAATTTTTATTAATGGGTAGCTACGAGAGTCGAACTGAACACCTTTGATGAAAAAAAAATTGAATCCCATCTGCACATGAATGGGAGTGTTACTGACCAAACATAGATAAAACTTTTAGATGACCTCAGTTCAAAACTAGACGTTGTTTAGGTAAAACTGCCAATTTTTTTAGTGCGACGATGTTTGGATTAATGATATATCGTGTAAACTTTGTGTTCCAGGATTCTACCACTCTGCAATCCTCAACATACACACTGTCAAAGGAACTGAAAACCTGTGGGATTTGGCGAAAAGGAGTTACTTGGCCTTTGCAGGTTACAAGAAATGCAACAAACATTTTTCAGACATGGCTGATCTAAACTTCTTGATGTGCAAAGCCATTGAAAATCCTGGCTTAACTGCATCATCATCGCTTAGAACTTCATTCATCTCGGTATTTGAGGATCCCGTGCTCGATAATTCTAATGAAATGCAGAAAGAGCTTGGAGTAGAGGACTACATGGGATGTGCTTCTATCCATGGAGTTGGACCTTCCATCGCCATTTTTGACACGGTACGAGGTGGTGAACTGGATTGTCTTTGTGTTTACCCATCACCATTGCATTCAAGGGAGCAGATCAATGAACTGGTCGATCATATGAAGAGGGTTTTGATTGATGCAAGTTTGATTGCCTGATTTGTTGATGAATGCTTGTTATCTGGACTATATATTAAGACTCCGCTGTATTGTTCAACCTAAAATGTCATTTCTTCATCAAATTGTTCCTTCTTGTGATGTATTGGATTTGAATCCAATGCATTCCAAGAAAGTTTAGGGTTCATTTTATTTGGAGAAATAAGATTAATGTATTAGTAAAGTTCAATTGAATGGAGGACTATTGTGATTTGTACCAGATATCAAGGTTTGGCCTTATAAATTTTAACCCCCTTTTGGTTTAGCTAAAAACCATATTTTTTGTAGATTTTAATAAAAATTGATAAGATCTATGCTCAAAAAGTTAATAAAAGTTATAAATTTCATGAAATGTGTGGTTAAAATTAATCACTAACTTTGAATTAAATTTTTATAACAGTTCAAGTCAAACCAAATAGGTGCTTAGACACCAAGGCTACAAGAAATTTTGTTGATGGAGAGATTTCGAGTTAAAATAACAAATTAATAAGTGTTATTCTTAATCTTCTATATATATAAAATGACTATGTAACGGAATTTGTTGTTTTAACGAAAAATCTAACGGAATTTCTTGTTTT